CAATCCAATGGCGCAGCCGAAAACTTTGTGCGCCCGCAGAAGAGTGCCATTGCTTCCTTGAACCCAGTGCATTCGATGAACTGGACAGAGGCGCTGATAACTTTATGATGCAATAGCGTAACACAGTACATTCAACTACGGGATACCATCCAGCAAAGCTGTTTAGGAGTCGAGTCGAATTACTAGTCCGAGTGCTAACTACAACAGAGTTCATAGTTCATGAGCAATCACCACACAGTATACACTAGATACCAATAAAAATAAATTGTGTTGAACGAAGCACCAGACTCATTGGAAAATCTCAACTCGTGACGTGCTGAAAGAAAAACGAATCACGCAAAATCATGTCGGGCTCACCAATTTAGCAACTAAGACGGTTTGAACGACGACGCGTTCACCAACTCTGTCGATTAAGCTTATCACGGGTTTTCCCAAAATTGAGAAAAAGTCGGCAACGACCGTTGATGGTTTAATGTGACCTGCAATATCAAGAGCAAAGCGCAAGACACACCTAACCGGAAATTGTTTCACAGTCGAGGAGGAGGAACCTACTAATCCAGAAACTCACTATCAGATCACTAGTTGGTTTGCCTGTGTGCTTTACCTTGTAGGAAGATTTAAACTTTTACTAGCGTACAGGCATTCCTTTAAACTACGATATTTTTCACTTATGCATTCCTCCATGTATGCGCGCAAAATTAACTGAAATAAAGAGGTTTTGTTGTTTCTTAATTTTTCACCACTGGGCGTTTTTCTCCATAAATCAATGCGTATTCCCTCCCAAATTCGAACAGAACACCTGCCCCTTTACTGGTCATCTACAACGAGGGCTGCTTTAACCTTCTTCCTTATGTTCTCTTCAAGCTTCTGACCTCAAAACTCATGAGTAAACCTACAGCAAAAAAGTAGCTTAGCAGGTCCACCGCCGCCCCAGCACTAATTGTATCGAAAACACTTTCCTGACAGCCGTGATGGGCTTTCACTGGATGATGCACAGCGGCGACGGTCCTCTATTTTCGCTCAAGTGAAACCGCAAAAGTGGCAATTAACGAAACGACGAAAGACTGGCAGACGACTTTTACCGGTACCAATTTTTCCCCACATGTACCTGCCACATCAACCGGAACTCTTCTGGACGGTGATGCCGAATATTTCCGTGGCTAGCCACCACGTGCCCAAATCTTCGGAAAATTACTCAAAACCCGACACCACGAACATGCACGCACACTTAGGGAAAGCTCTTCTTAGCCTTCGATGGGGGCTCTGTGATGATATCAGCTACTATCTCTCTGTTTGTGGCATACCTCTTTTGCAACTCATTGATTTACCGCACCCAGGACAAATCGTTTGCTTTCACTTCTGGCTAGCCCTCTCACGCTTCGTGTCCTCTCTTTTGGTTCTACAGGCCGTCGTTACGCCTGGTAACGTGTCTCATCCTGCTTTCATACGAACGCTCATTTCTGCCGCAGTAGTATTACCGAGGTTCCAAAACCCGCGCGTACACCGGAGGGTAACGTGCTTTTTGTTCGCTCTCTAGAGAGGAAGCTGTTGTAGTATTTTTGTCTGCAAGAGGAATGGAACAATCCACGACAGTATTTTCTGTTCATGTTCTATTTTACAATCGAATGTGAGACTGATGTTCGTTTACTATACTGCTGGCGTTGTATTAAATATATATGAAGTAGGTCTTGTTTCGACCTACGGAACATTTTAAAGATTTTCGTTTTATTAACTCATATTTACTCGTACTGGTGCATATTCGGTACTTTAGCGGTTTTCAAACCGACACTTTTCTCTTCTTGCCTCTCTTGTTCCTTAAGTTTCTTAGTAGATTCATATATTCAGGAAGTGATCATTAAATCACAGACAAGGACCAACTACCTTAAAAACCCGTGTTGCAGAATCCAATCACCAAACAATCCTGTAAAATTGAGGAATAACGGAACGAGGCTACACAAACATAGAACACCTATCAGAACCAACGAGTTTCAGATAGCTCTTTGATTACACTTAGTTATTACAAGAAATAGGTAGGATAAGATACCTATCTTCCTAATCGGTCACAATCAAATGTTATTGCATATCGCCGAACAATAGCGATCTCTCGGAGGAAACTTACTTATCAGGAATAGCAACTTGGCAAACTCCAAAGTTGGGTATTACTTTTACCATTGTTGTGTTTTTAATGAGCTGAAATGAACGGTACAGGCATGATTCCGCATAGTGAGCTCCGTATCGCACGCATCCTCTGCCTTGTTCACGTCTACTCTCAAATTTTTACTGCCGTTGCTAAAATACTAGCCCAAGCTAGCGGCAACATATTTCGAAAATTTCAGATGTCAGAATGTACATTTGTGAACACTCCAAACTTCAGTTCTATTCTACATGGGAGGGACTACAGGAGAGACTATGAGCAATTAACAGTGGAAGGTTCTGACAAATATCAGCTACCTTTTAGAGGTGGGGCAACCTTGCGGAAGCGGCTCTGTCTCTAGTGTTCGGTGAATCTCAACAACGCGGCAGATGTCGGGAACAACGATTAGTTAATCAAGGGAAAGTACATTTCATCATGAATTCATTGTGTAAATGAGATGTAAGCTGAAAAGTTAGGAAGCATTGAACAGCTGTTTTGACCTGCGTAAGTCTCATCAGCAAAAGCGAAAGTATATTGTTACCTCAAGAGTACCAGAAGTATAGCCTGATTACGCTCGAGAGTATACGACAACAGAAGGTTTAACGAGCGAAAGTGTAGCGATGATTCAACGCACCATTCGAAGTAAACAAATTCAGCCGAATGTGGTATTGATACAAAGCTTGGAGACTTGGCCAAAGAAGCAACATCATGACATTGACGATCCCGATGGAATCTATGTTAGAAAAGAACAACAGAGCAGGAGCGAACGCTCCAAGCAACCATTACCTGCTATCACGCAAAACAGGCAGGCCCAAGTTGGTGATAATTCTCGAATATTGTCTGTCTGAAGCCGCTTCACCAAAATACTAGCTGGTACCACGATACACCAATAACGACCAAGAGTGTTTTCACTTTTGGAGTAACGGTTCACTGTGAACTCGGGACCCATGAAAAGCTCAACCCATCAGGTGCTCGTCGGATGGCTTCAGACCCCCAAGAATGCAGTTGTCTCATAAATTTTAGTGCTTCTCATTTTCTTTCACTCCAAACAAACAGCTCATGAGCATATAGCAATTATCCATGGACACCACCGGTAAACCTCCGCCTTGAACATACGAATATACTCCAAGGCACGGAAAACAGCGATACCCGTAAACATTTTGGATAACTCTGTCTTGGTGCACTACCTCAAAACTCGACTTAAAAGAAGTTGTCTCGCGCCATTTAAGTTTCTCGAAAATGTGAAGTGCAATCAAGAGCATAACACGCTTATGTGAATCAACAATAAGAAACCTTACAGACAGGAAATGTACGACAAATCTGAATGAGTTGTTCATCTGAGTATTCCGGATAGACTTCCAACAGCACTAGGTTACAATATCGAAATCGTTCACACTGGAAACGCGAGACAATACTACCCCACGTAATGCACATACAGATGTGACTCCTAAGGCCCACAGGCTTTGACGAACTTAAGCGATAACGAACAGCCTAATCATAAGCAGTTTAATGGTCATTAGACTAGTCATTATTGTGTCCGGATTTAATAATATTGGTAGAGGATCAGTCATATGAAGTTCTCACACGGGGATAAGATAACCCCGAAGCTCATATTTACATGCAATTTGAAGATAAGAACAGTGGGATCTTGGTGAAATAGAGTTCATTGGAGACTGAGAGGTTTAAGATAACGCGGAGTGAGCCGAAGCTTAGTGCGGTTCGGACATTTACGACTGCCCATCAACTGACAAGAAACTCGGTCGGTATCTTCCGTGAGACGTTTATAAGCATCGTTTCTCCTGGTTTAAAACAAAATGGCCCGTTCGTTTACACTAACAAAATGAGCAAGCATGCTCAATTGAGGACTGATGCTAACCACTTACCTTTAAAAAGAAACATACAATCCACGTAGACCCAAAGCTTCGAATCGGTTTCATAAGCCGCTTAATGCACAACCTTCGAATAAAAGACTGCCCTAGCTTTGGTGATACATCACACAGGAGGCACCAAAGGATAGCAACCAAAACCGACGCACGAAACTGCATGGCTAATGGTTGTAAAAACTGAACTGAACTGTGGTTTGACTGACGACGGACAGCAAACTTGATTTATTTGGGTGCTATGAACGGTGGCTCCAGGTCGACAGCCATGATTCTGAATAGCACAATTTAATTTTGTGAACGAGTGGTCGGGAGACTAGATTTGTCAGTGATCCGCAATCTCTCTAAGAATTACCATTGAACGGAAAGACTGGTGATCTAGAATGCTTAGACGAACTAAAATACGACGTCATTGAACTTAACATTGCAATCACACGTGTTCTATCCACGACCGACCCAAAACACATAACACTAAAAGAGAGGGTATGCAAAAAGTTGTTGTATAAACTGTTTTTCATATGTACAAAAAACAACAACTGTAAAAGCTAAAGATTTACTTGGTATCAAAACTTGTTGATTTGCGATGTTTGGAGCCTCTCAAACAAAGAAAGAACCGTCAATTTCCACTAGTCCTTTGCATCCCCGATTCCATCGGGAAGAATGGCATACATGGCTTCTGCTTCGGGTAAACAAGGGCTGTCGTATATTTTGCATATTCTCGTTTCTCCACGCCCTTTGCGTAAGTATAAGCTAGGAGGAAACGAAAATGTCATTCAGTAAATGTCTACCAAACAAACTCTACTAGTAAAAGGACAAGCCTTTATGATGTACAATCGCTGATGTGAAAAACCCGTCCTGTTATTTCTACGTTCTGGATTAACACTTTTACTAAGTTGTGATCTTATCACATATGAACATCACTGCATGCCTTCTTTACCTTATACAGTTCCTTGTATAATGCACAGACGTGCTCCTCTAGGTTTTCATTACTCTGAACCGAATCACGACGTCATTGTACGTTCAACCTTTTACTTTAGATTGCACTGTTCAAACTACAGCATCCAGTCTATTGGACACGATCGTTATGGCACCGCCTCCCGTTTGTCAAATTGTTCGACTCCATATCTGGACCNNNGGACCATACCCGATGGTGCGAACACCTATGATTAAACATCCTCATTCCGTATTTTACCATCGCTTTCATGCCGGATAGTGCTACTGTCTGAACAAATTGCAACGAACTGTGCTTCTGATGCTTTGGTAGTGGTTGAACTTCCACTGTAAATAAGTATCTCAAAAGCTTCATGTCTATTCCTTCAGTAATCTTCCCTGTGTAGGGTTGTCGGCACAAATCTTGGTTGTGCACAGTGGTGAGTAGAATCTCAATGATATTTACTCTTCACGTGACTGTTATTCATAACCCGTTTCATCCATGATAGATCTGTGAATCACCGTCGTTATCCATTTAACCGCGTGGCGAGTGATTTGCATTGTTGAAGTATGTAATTTACCTTATATTAAAGTGAGAAGTAGTACCGTATACAATAGGTTTAACAGCTTTCTGAATTCGGGATACGTTACTAAGCATGTTTTGGTGAAACATTATACAAAACGAAAGCTGAAGATGTTTTTATTACACACCTCGGTGTGATGAACAGCAGATGGGGTAAAACCCATAATCACGAGGACCTGCTTTCATTTATGGGAATCGGTAACCTAAGCCCCGGGAGTGGTGAATCACATTAGGCTCCGCCAGATTAGGTGTCGTCATGACAGCAAAGCTGTCTACCACTACAGTTACACTCCGAAACAAACATTTTTTCGGCCGTTGCAACAAACGCACAAGTCGAATGAAATCTATGAATCTACATAGACAACAATAAAAAGATTCAAAACCAAGTATGACTAAAATAATAACAATTGATTTAGAACAACCGAAGTCCCTTGAAAAGAAGCCGACTATCAAATGGGAGGATTTAAAGATTGAGCTGCTTCAAACGGCTGCAGGACTTAAACGAAACAGAAAAAAGACAACTGAATAGTACACTCGTGTTGGTTTCAATCGGATCAAAATCCAGATCGTTCACGACATTTCGTGTATTACAACTGAATGAATTCTTAGATTGGTCAAACATCCACCCAAAGCAGCAGAGTTATTTGCCATCCTCTTTTCTCAAGTTACATTTTATTTCAAATTGCCACGATTTTTAACTTTACTGGAATTATTTCGCGTACTCCAATCCTCAGTAACATTTTTAGTTGAAATGGTTAACTAACCTACTTTATACTGGCTTTGCTGAAAACCCGTTACAGAAGGATCGATAATATTCGTTGCTCCGTATTCGAACTAAGCACTTAGTCTAAAGCGACCTTGATCACCCGAGTTCCTGAACGACTTAAAGCCTAGTGCTGTTATCTGATGAGTTTCTTGGTTTGCTAACACAACATGGCTTCCGCTGCCTCGGATCCACTGACAACCTGTTAGCGTAACAGGTTACATGTATAGACCTTCTCCATTGATCACCATGACCGGCGGCATCTGTTTTACCTCGATATCTCCCAGGTGTTCGATAAACTTTGACAAGACGGGCTCCTGGTGACATTTCCTTCGTTCGAACTCGCCCCGTGTTTTGCCACTTTCGTTGTGATTGTTCAACCTCTGTTCATGTTGATTGATTCATTAGGACAACAATCACAGTTAACTCGTGTCCGAAAAGGTTCCATACTATGACATGCCTTTCTTTTCTTCATCGACGATTTGTTATCCCAAAATTAGCGAGTTCAACAGAAGTTCGTATCTTTTCAATGGTATAGTGCTAACTTTCTCTATGTAGTTTTCAACATACCTCCAAGTTGCTGCTGCTTCAGCCTTTTGTCGCTATTACCATGGTTCATGTTCACAGGATTTCGCATCTGCAGTATCGAATCTCTGTCTGCTCACCCAATCCGCACATACGCGGAAAGCTACTCTTGATCTATCGCAGTCATAAGAGGAGAAATAGACAGACAAGAAAGAGGACTTTCCAAATGGGTGTTTTAAACTTTAGGATAGAATACACGTGTCGGCAGCTAGCGCTGAAGAAGGGATTTTTCCTCGGGAATCCTGACATTCGGAACCGTACGGTAATAGGAATTCACGTTCTTTTTACTTTAGGAACCCTAACCGGAGCTTTTCATTATAGAGTCTGACTCGTACGACGGTAGGACGCGGGTCCAAAGCGGACTAGTGACTGAAACACCCTGTGAGACTTTTTAGAGAGAGATCCGTCACGAAAGGTCTTGTTTTTTTCAGCATGCTATTCGGTAGTGCGTTGTCGTTTCCCTATTCAGCCTCCGCCCTTAGTCTCACACACCCGAGGAGACAGGTGGAACGTGGACGGAACGACACCTTATTGACTGGGGGCGGCCCAGCTTGGGTAAGTGGTAGCAGTTCAATGAGATATGAAGATTTCTTCCAGTGTCAGAAGAAAGCTATAGGTACCCCGCTTTGACGTCCATCTAGCGGGAGGTGAGGGGACCGGTAAACGGCTTATCTCCGTGTTTATTTGTTAAATTGACTTTCCAACGGGAAAGAGGGGACAATTAAAGGAAGCCAAGAGACAATTTTACACCCAAGTAGTGATATGTATTGGCATGAATACGAATCTTTGAAAATCAGCTTATTCACCAGTCTGTTGTTTTGTTTGAAATGTTCTGTGGGACTATTTCGACAAACCAAGAGATGTCCAATCAGTTGGCCTTGCGAGACGGACCTTGGTCTGAGCCCTACCCATTGACCTCTCAAGTATGATTGAATCTACCGCTGGATGGCTTGCAGGGTATGAAGGCACGCTATCACACCACGTCAAGATAGTCTTATCGTGCAAGTGGTCGATCTCCACAGATTACGTGCATTGTGGCATGTGCTACAGAAGTTAACAAAGAGATTGCCACGGCGTGCGATGCTTATTGAGACAGGTATTGGATGGAAAAAGTCAAAGGTGGTTTAACTAAAACCTTGAATGAGGGTATGAAAGCCCTCACCAGGAGACTCAATCAAATAGGTTTTTGCTGAGGTTTCAGGATGGGGACCTCGGGATCTGCGTAACCCTTGTGTCACAAACGGTGGCGCTGATGCATCTAAATCTCTTCACAACCTTCATTTACCAGAACTCTATCTTCACGATTTCACTGCACTCAACACTCAACTCCTCCCTCTATTTCTTCATACAAAAACAGCAACGGAAACACCGCACGAAAGTGCAAAATCAACGGTTGGACAAACTGAAACCCACCTCATTCCTAGTCCCAGTGAATATTTCTTCCGAGAACCGATGAGCTGTGTAAAGCCCTCCCACTCTATACATATACCCTTTCTAACCATCTTCATGCTTGTAAACACCAGGCTCAACAAACTACTAATGGCATGAATGTTCAACATTACCACAGTAGACCTTCAAGGTCCTGTTGCTGTAATAAAATATACTTTAACCAGGCATCGGTAAATAAAGATACAATTGGTTCGGGGTGTATGTGCGAAACACCGTTTTGCACCACTTCAGACTGAGACAATACCGAATAAAAACAAAATTCGAAAATACCTTGATAAACAAACGAAATCAACCCATCCGTTCCACGAAAACCTACAAGAATTAGTTGCTTGATAAAACTATGTCGCAGTTACAGAACTGATACCATGCCATACCATAAAGGACAATCAATCATTTCCGGAAAGAAAAAGTGAACGTACCGAGTAGTTGATGCATGGCCCATGATGTTGCCCCCAATGGGTTTTTTCGGATCTGCAGTGAACATTGCAGCTCCATCTACTTGGGCGACAACTTGGTTTGTGATTACCACAGCAACACCGAATTCATCGGCTAGTCGCAGCAATGTGCGCAGAAACCGGGCCAAATGCATTTGTCTGGCGGATAATTCACCACGTCCAGAGTAATCTGTACGATACAAAGCGGTGGCGCTGTCGACAATCAGCAGGGCGTAACTATAGAAATTAAAAAAGTGGATCACAATAAAGATGTAGTAAATTAGCCCTTCTTTTACCAGTATCAGTACTCTAATGAACTGAACAGTGTATCCATCCAAACGAAAGTAGACACGGAGCATTGCCGAATAACAGATAAATTGATGCCTAGAAGTGGAAACCGGACCGAGAAAATGAAAGGTGAAAGTAATCGACTGGAATCCCTTGGGGATTTTGTATCCTCAAACCCACCAAAAGAAAAGACGTGTGCATATGAGTCTACTACGCCAGGACCAGGTGATACAACATAAAAGAAGTCATACCGAGACACGAATTCGCAGAAGAAAATTGCTCACAACGTGCAAAAGACCGTTTGTGCAAGGTTGCGTGCAAACTTTGATGAATATGATAATGAGAACAATGGTTCGCCTCACCTAACTGAATTTATTTGGATGAAAAAACCAAAAAAAGTACGGAAGCCCTTCAGCAGCAGAAACGAATATCATATCAAATGATGATAAAACGTTTACCCAGAACAAAATTCAAGGAGGTCAACCGAAGCTGGATGCACCAATCCTCTCTGTTTAAACCAACTTTTTGATTTCCCATCAGAATTGAAGTGCAATTACCCAAGGAAATGTGTGATGTGAGTGCACCACAGATGAAAGAAAAAGTGACTGTGGAGGCATACAGTTCGGACTAATTTGTACAGTACTAGTGTAATTCGTTAGGTTACTCCTTGACTGCCGAGGAGTGTGGAAGAGTAACTCAAAAGACCTCAAACCGAGACTTCGACAGAGCAGCGTGACTCTAAATGTAAAATGAGCGCTGCTTCTAGTTCGCGATTAACTGAATTTTTTCATCCCTTTAACCGGATTATAGGGTCTCCGACCCGACCTTCCCAGTAAGGAGTGCCCAAAACATTCGAAAAGATCGAACCGATGATCCGGAATCCCCATATGGATGGCTGAGAATTAACCTTTGACAACTCTCAGTCGGTAGTCAGTCAACTTGGCAACGGCTCCTTAGACTGAGTTTTCACCCTCTCGCTTTAGTGAACATTTGCAAATTCCACTGGGATGATAAAAATCAGACGATGATCAGTAACTAGCAATAATGTACGTGCCAAGAAATCTCACAGTTATTTTATTCGCCCTTGTTCGTGGTGGTCTAAACCTGGCCAGTTTAACAATGGATCATTTTTTGTGGTAGAACACAGAACACTAGCTACCACAGTTCACTATCATTGGAGGTTTTCATGATCATAGGAATTACCCTATTCACCGTTCCTCACAAAAAGAAAGTGGACATAAAGATAACCCTAGAGATTTTGATGACCTAAGGCAGTATAATGGGTTTCTAAAAAAGAAAACTGTTTGAAATAAGATGATACATGAAAAGGGAACCATGATTGCAGCAATATTTCGCAACAGCAGAAAAGGGAGCATTAGATACTCGCCGTGATTCGCTCATCATGGCAGCCGCACTGATCAGAAGCTCCATTTGATGATCTGTATTGTACGCGCGAGCGTAGGCTACATTATCCAAGACATCACTGCCCGATAAACCATAGCGTTCCGCCACGGCCAATAAACGTTCCGGTCGGAAAGTACCCTCAGTATCAATGTACAGGCATTTTCCTTCTCCGCCACCCATGTCAATGGGAAGCTGTTGAAAATTGAGGAGGAAAGACACAAACAAGTGATCGCAAAAGTGCGTGATTTACGACCCAATCTGTGGTGCTGAATGTCAATAAATGTGTCCATCTTCTTTTTAACCGTAAAACAGGCTCTGATAGTCTAACTTCCATAATAACCCGACAGAACTTATTGGTAATGGTGACATCATTCCCGAGGCTGACTAAGTTAAAGCCCTCGGAGTTATCTCGTTGCCTAAAGTTTTTTAGTCTGAACATGTCGAAGGCCTTTACATTGCGGTTGTAGATGGATTTTCTATGCTTTCAAATTTCAAAAGCTTGCCATAGACCAAAACGTAATTTTGAAAAAGCTTAGACGCTTTCGTAATAGCGGTAATCGTATTAAACACTAATACGAAAAACTTAACTCAGATCCATCGAACATACTTCTCGTTGCAGTGATATTCCTGCAACTGTTTTGATGGATTTTGTCGTCTGCAAGATTATTGATGCACACGATTAATGAACCAACCAAATCATATCTAATAAAGACCATTGTCTGTTTATCCATTTTAATGTGTATTTCACTATAGTTCTCGTTCCAGGTTTTTCTGACCGAATAAACATATACCGCAATAGTCCATTGCCTATCTTGCAAGCATGTTAACGTATCAGACAACTAACATAATGGCCTTGAATTATCACCTCTTCATTGACGAACTTGTTTCATCAACCTGTACTATTGTTTCAGTTTTGTGAACGTCTCGTTGTCTCTTTAAAAATACTGAATTTTCACCTGATGGGTGCATTAAGCCTATTTTCATTGGAATTGAAATTCAACTCTCGACCAGTGATATTATGTATGACACTCGAATTGCTTATAAATGAAAATTGTGGGACAGTAACTAAAACTATAGTGCT